CTGTAAAATATTAAGATTACATGTATAATTCGATTTCAGCAAAATCACTGAAACTTGTATACAACCTTTCATAACTTGGTTGATATTTATCACTTTAGATTACAGTGTACATTGACAATGTCTTATAATACCAAGATAAGAAACCCCAGTGAAAGCTAAAGCGTAAGATTGGACAGAATTCGTAGTCTTTGTTTGCTAGTTTAAAGTTTTTATAGGCCAGTATGTCTTATAATACCAAGATAAGAAACCCCAGTGAAAGCTAAAGCGTAAGATTGGACAGAATTCGTAGTCTTTGTTTGCTAAAGTTTTTATAGGCCAGTATGTCTTATAATACCAAGATAAGAAACCCCAGTGAAAGCTAAAGCGTAAGATTGGACAGAATTCGTAGTCTTTGTTTGCTAGTTTAAAGTTTTATAGGTCAGTATATCTGTATATATCTATATTATGCAAAATTCTTCTTTCGTCATTCATCTTGATTAGTTGCAATATTACTATAGGAATGAAAGCTGTGAATTAGAAAATTCTAAATGTAAGAAATATTAAAATAGTAGTTCATGATTCTGAATGTATATAACTGGAGCCTTAGTTTATTATACACTCAAGACCAGTAAACCATTAACATATTTTGTTCCAATGGTTCCTGAGGCTCTAGTGAACAGTTTTACCGAGATACAGACTTTACAGCGTAACTATTGTTTCAGAGCATGAATGAAACAATGGAAGCGAATGGGGTGTTCCTATTTAGACTGACTCGTTATCATTCCGTTTTCTTTCTTTTCATACACACTTTGTGTCTCGGGGAACAACTAATGTGTGACTAGAGGATCTGTAAGTCTTCACCCAGCTGTGCTTTACACTTTAATTACTATGTGTTCCTTTGTTAGTTACATTCGTGGTTCCAGTCGGGCTTTCAAGCATAGCTGAGCGTAATAAAAAACGGTCACTGGTAGAGTAAAAGAAAGCATTGTTACACTGTCACTGAACTTTACTGAAATTTGAAGGTCATTTTCAGTATCGCAAGGACATTCTTAAAGACGTGGCCCTACTTTACATACGTAGCTGATTAAAACCGCGTGAACATAATACACTTTTGCCTAACTTATCATTATATAATGCTAAGTAAAATTAACACATATATATATATATTCAAAAAAATATAAATTATGTCTGTGTGTTCATGTGATGTTTACATATTCAACTGCAATTAAGGTCATGCGTAGTGATGTTTTTTTGTTTTGTTTTTTGTTGTTGTTGTTCTGAAACTTTGGAAAGATGTGTATATTCTTTTATTGGGGTTATGAGATGTCAGAAGATACACAGAAAAAAAATTGGACATGAAGAAGACTAATGCTGACACTACACATTCTGCTTCCCATTTAGAAATTAACCGATTTTACTCTTAAATTAAAACACAACAGTAGCGTTAAGAAACGTAAATTTATGAGATAATCTGTTTAAATTCATTCGATCGAGTACTAGTTTATAGAACTCGCTGTCACTTGGCAACTGTTATCATATCGATGACAAGAAAGATTCTTCCTTTATTACTTGTTTGCTGTTTCGTACGTTTTCAAACCTCAAAGGAAATATGTCATAGAATTAGTCTCTGTTAAACATAAAGAGGTCAGGAAGAAGTGTGTTAAATGAGTAGTACACAGTGTAAAGTTACTTTCATGGCGCAACGTATACAGTGGTTTATGGTAAGTGCTAATGTAGGTCACGATGTCAAATTTTTCTCATCCCATGTGCTTTAAGAACCGAGTTTAATGCCAGTAAAGTACCGTAGAATAACTTCTAATGTTTTTAGTTCGTGTTAGCGGCTGTGGATTACAATTGCAGTCATAGGCGTCCGGGGGGGGGGGGGCCAAGACAGGCACTTGCCCGACCAAGAAAATGAGAAATATAATTTTTTCTTTATTCATTCAACATATGTTTATGGTTTTTTATTTTTTGCCCTCCCTCTGGAGAAATTTCTGCGGACGCCCGTGATTACAGTGATATTACTTTGAAACTGTTCTCGCAGAAATTAATAACTAATCAAGCCGAATGTTTCAAATATTATGTTCACTGAATTTCATGCCTGAATTATTTTACGCTGTGGTATGAAAAGGGTGCGCTTTTTATATATGTATTAAGCCGAAGTTACAACAAAAAATATTGAATTTTCTTTTTTTAGTTACATTTAGTGTCAATCTGTTTTTATTGTTGCTGTTTTTTTAAATCTCGTTTTACTTTCTTATAATTCCATAACAGCCGATTCAAGTGTAAATTGGTAGAATTTGAACTACTTCTATGTTTACGTCATATGGTGTAGTGACGTTTTTATTATCTTTGAACAGCTCTCAAACTTTGGAAAGTTTGTAATTAATGACTGAATATATATAAAACAGGAAGGTTTTAATTGATATAGAGAAAAAATAATGATGAAATAACTTTCCCTGTGGTTATTTATCATGTTTGACAAAACAGTAAAACGTCGTATATCGTTTTCAATTACATTAACGAGAAAAACAGTAATATTTGGGGTACAGCTGCTTCTTTTCAAATCCCCTTGCATGTAGAACGTAGAAACATTACGGCATCGTTACAACTGACCTATTGGGCGGTAACCTTGGAATTACTCGGTCTTTTATTAATTTAGAATATGTTCAATATAACTGTAAGCCTAACTAGAAATTATAGATTCACAAGTTCTTAAAAATTATATATGTATTTATGTAAGAGACTCTTATAAATCTAATTTGAACCTCCTTCCGGTTTCTTTCAGGCACCTCTCAGTTACATCTCTCTGTGGGTATAGCCTTTATACCGAGATGTATTTTATTTGGTAGTAGCAGGTGCCCGTTGAAACAGTTTAACAGTTATTTTCCTATAAATAGTGATGAAAAAAAATATAAAATGTGTACTCAACCCAATCCCTTGGATCAGAGCATACATGCAATATGATTGTTTAGTGAGCCATTTACAACTGCTTTTTGTTATTCCAGGTGTTGTTTCAATAAGGAACATTTTGTTCTGTTTGTTTTTAAACAAAGTTGGCTGACTGCAATGCATGGTTGACAAAATTGTTTGGGTTTCGATGTAATGGATGTATCCAGCGCAACGACGCGCTTAGGTCCTCTAAGTAGCTGGGTGGAGTTTTTCCGCTGGATGCCACCGTTCCTTATCATTTTACTGAGCGCAAGTAAAGGACCACTACCAAAGTGAGCGTTTTTTTTTGTTTTTTTTTCACAGTTGTCATTTCTATAATTTTTAAAGGGGAAGTATTCAATTCATTTTATTAGACATATTACAATAAAATCATCCATGTATATAATACCGACACGAAATATATATATATATATATATAAACTGAACAACAAACAAAAATATACTCAAACACTTTCCTCTCCTTATGCATTTATTCCTTTCATGCTTCTATCTTCGAAATGTTTATTTCAATCAATCGAGGGAGGAAGTCCCGTTTTTTTTTGGGTTGTTTTTCTTTTTTCGTAAAATTCCGTCACAAAAAGAAACATTTTTGTTCTTAATAAGTTTTTTTTTTCACAGATTGAAGTTCAGCACATACGAAGGCTGACGAATCGATGTTGATATCTATATGAAAGTTTACGAATTGCAAAAATATTAATAATTTTCCTGTGATGTACTCTAGAAATGAAGCGTTCTGATATGTATATTTTTTCTACGGTTAACCGATAAGGAGATACTGAGCGTGACAGACGGACTGACGGACATTTGAT